CGCCTGAGACGAATGGGCCACCCGTGATCACAATAAACGAAAATCTTGAGGTTTCTTTCGGAAGTTTATTCGCCACCGACGTCATATGGTAAATTACTTTGTGTATCTGTATCATTTAAGTCACTGATGGTGCCGCAACGCTACTTGCGTGGCTATTGCGTGTCAGAAACGAATCCCGGTTCGACCTGAGTGTGTGAGGTCCACCAAAATGGTAAACGTCTGAGCCTTGGGACCAAGCGGAATGAAACCTGTGTCACGTCATATTCATTTCTGCCATCTCCCATAACAGATGACTATTTCATCGGTTATGTACGTTATCTATATTCATGTATCTTATCTACAGTGTTCTTAGTACCAGTTAATGGTCTTCCTGATTTAGGCTCAATCTTGAACACCATTGACCATTTCGTGACAGTGGCAACGAAAGCAACACCACCCCCTCAAGCTGAAACCATTCCTTTCATTTGAATATACTTTATCGCAGCGTGGACACCAGTGTAGTGTTAAAAGATTTAGAAAGCTTCATATTTTCTACGCGGGAACGATGACGTTAAACTAAACTGACAATCAGAAATGTCAACCTCGTCGATCAAAACACCCACGTGAAGCACAATACAGCAAGGTTGATTCTCTGAGCTGAAAGTTGATGACATCCATTAACTCTTATTTATTTACAAATCAGCTAAAATACTGACACAACTTCTGGAACTCTCATCTAATTTGAAACTGTCATTAACAATCGAGGGAAACGCAATAACGGGTGAGATATGTCAGCGCTTCAAACTATTGCTTCAAAATGAAAATTTTAAGTTTCCAGCTACAAATTATCTCTAAGACGTAGCGATAAAGTAGAAAGTGTTGTGGCAATTGCAAACAGCTGAATTCATCAATAGTTTTTTTAGCCAAACAGGTCGTTGAAAGTGAAAACATAATTTACTTTTATATTTATTTCATTATTTAATTCATATTAAACCTGACTTGTATCATGTATACGTTGGATTTTCCCGTCTTTTCATTTTCGAGACATGATCGTTTTCCTATATCTGCTGTTTGTACATATTTCCTTACCCCTTATATATGGAAGTATATCAGTGATGATAATAAGAATACTGATAAACCAATGCTTTCGTAAAATTCATAACTTTAAGCACTTACAAAGACTCCCCTGGAGGAAGAAGATTTGAGCATGTCACTACACTATTCCAAAGTATTACGATGATTATAACAAATAAAAGGACTGCATCACTAATCTCGTCGGTAAATCTTCAGTATGCACACTCCTTTATGTGAAAACACATTCATATGACCAGTGTTAAAGAATTACGAGTCCTGTCTAACATAATATAGTGGAGATAATTAAATTTCGAATAATAAGTGAGTGAGTGAATGGGTAGCAATATTCCAACACTATCACGGCGGGGGGACACCAGAAATGGGCTTCACATATTGTACCCAAGTGGGGAATCGAACCAGGTTTTTCGGCGTGACAATTTACCCACTGGTCTACCCAAAAACCCTGATTGATGATCAGCATACCGTCACTGACAACTGCAGCTGTCACAGAGCTGTGTTCCTGCGCCCGTGAAGATCCGGGGTAGAATAGGTCTTCAGCAACCCACGCTTACCACAAAAGGCGACTATGCTTGTCGTAAGAGGCGACTAACGGGATCGGGTGGTCAGGCTCGCTGACTTGGTTGACACATGTCATCGGTTCCCAATTGCGCAGATCGATGCTCATGCTGTTGATCACTGGATTGTCTGGTCCAGACTCGATTATTTACAGACCGCCGCCATATAGCTGGAATATTGCTGAGTGCGGCGTAAAGCTTAACTCACTCACTCACTGTGTTCCTGTGATCTGGGTGTCATTAAATATACTCTCCCAAAAAAGCAACGCATCATGAAAATAGCAATTTCATGTAGCAATGAATTAAGACGTGATTCGTTTTACAAAAGGTTTTGCTCTGTTTATGAGTCCTATGGTGATTATGTTTTGAAACATCACAACAAAACGCACCATCCGTAAAATACCCGTATTAAACAGCATGATTTTCAATTTCGGCGTGTAGTGTCACAGAATACACAATTCGCATGCAATGCACGTGAAAGTTGGGGATCAGATAGTCTCAATGATGGGTATAAAAGGTTGATCGCTGTCTGTCGATTATTCACTGTATTTGGAATATTGTTGACGAACGCAAAATGCCACGTCTAAGTGAAGCCAACCGTCATATCGCCATTGGTTTGCTTGAAGCTGGCCAGTCTCAACGTGCAGTTGCCCGACGCATGAATGTTCACCAAAGCACCATTTCACGGCTCTGGGAGAGATATCGCCGGCAGAATGCGGTAGCAGATGCCCCTCGTAGTGGGCGACCTCGAGTACCACTGCGGCGCAGGATCGACATCCGGGTACATCACATGCGTCATCGAACAGCTACGGCGACCTTCGACAAATACCCGGATTGAGGAGGCTTTCTGCACAGACCGTCAGGAACAGGTTGAGAGAGGCTGGTTTACGTGCCAGAAGACCTTATTTTGGCCCTGTGCTTCGACAACAACATCGTCGACATCGAGTTCAATGGTGCACCAACGTTCAGACCTGGAACCTACCGAATTGGCGTAGAATCTGGTTCAGTGATGAATCACGATTTCTATTGGAACGACGCGATGGAAGAATGCGGGTGTACATACGTCGACGTGAACGTTTCGCCGACGCTTGCGTTCCCCAGGTGGACAGATTCGGCCGGGGCGGTGTTGTGATGTGGGGGGCGATCACCTGCCGTAGGAGAAGTGATTTGGTGATGATCCAGGGCAACCTGACAGCCCAAAGGTACTGTGACGAAATCTATGCCGCCCCACCCCATCTTCCAATCATTGATCGCCAGAGGGAGTTGTTTCAACAGGACAATGCCAGGCCCCACACAGCACGTCACAATAGGGACTTCCTCCAGAACCACACACATCTCCCCTGGCCCTCAAGATCACCGGACCTAAACCCGATCGAACAGCTGTGGGATGCCCTGGACAGACGGGTGCGACGCCGTAACCCTCAGCCCCAGACACTTCAGCAACTCGCACAGGCACTACAAGCAGAGTGGGCTGCGATTGGGCAACACGAAATTCTGAGACTTATTCGTTCGATGCCGAGGCGATGCCGTGCAGTTCTGGATGCCCACGGTGGTCACACGAGGTATTGACTTCAGCGCTACCACACGTCTCCATGTGCCACTCAAACTGACTTTCCTCGAGTTGGTGCCAAAGACGGATAAGTCTGCATTCCCAGTGTGCAATTTCGCTATATTTCATTGACTCATAAAGCCTACAAGATGTTTCAAAATAAACATAAAAATACAGTTGAAATTCATATATGCGTTTCTTTTTTGGGAGAGTATAGAAATATAGTAATACCAGAACACGTGGTAACAAGTCCCATTATACCAAGCTTACATTAACTAGTGACAAGGATCAAAGTCCCAAACAAGGTTTAGATTGTGTTTATGAATCACTTTCAATAGTGCTGATACCAGTTCATCGCGAAAAGGTGAGCGAATCCTGATATTGGGGACCGTGTCAAACATACAAGCAAAGGCTAGTCAATAGTCCTCCCGAAAAACTATATGGCGGCTGTCTGTAAATAATCGAGTCTGGACCAGACAATCCAGTGATCAACAGCAAGAGCATCGATCTGCGCAATTGGGAACCGATGACATGTGTCAACCAAGTCAGCGAGCCTGACCACCCGATCCCGTTAGTCGCCTCTTACGACAAGCATGGGTTACTGAAGGTTCATTCTAACCCGGACCTTCACGGGTACATTTATACAGAGCTATGTGTATGTATGTATTCAACGACTTGGATATTTCAAATGATCTGGTACGAATTCATACGATCACGCAATCAAGTGAAAACGATTCAAACTGCATGTCCAATTGTCTTCTACGAAATCAACAGCGATTCTTACTTGCGAGGAAGTTAATGCTGATTGATCAGTTCCTTATCGCCATTCCGCCTAAAACATTAGAAACGATTCCATTTGTTTCGCGTAAGTCTGAAAAAGCCATTATACATGTCGCCTTCTATTCGAGCTAAAGACACATAGAGTTAACATGTGGGTGTGTGTGAATACAAAGAGGGTTCATTTGTTGGAACCCGTGGCTCTCAGAATCATTTTATGGCGTCTCTGCAGGATGCCATGCATAGGCAATGCCATCAGCAAACATACCGCACGTGGTTGCACAACGGTGTGCGAAATAGTTTCCAAATTTTGCTAGCCAGTCGGGCTAGCTATGCCTGAAAGTTACTCGCCCATAAAATAATTCACTAATTTGAATGTAGACACGGGTTTCATCATTAGGCTGCTAATATCATAAACATATTTATCAGGTCATAATCTTGCAATGATTGCAAGTGTATTAACTTAACAAGTCGGAGAGAGTGATATATGACCCCCATGAAAATTCACTAGCAAGTCGGACCAGTGACTGTGGAAATTTACTGGCCCAACTGGGTATTTACCAGCTACGGGCTAGCGAGAGAGAGAGCGAATGAATTTGTGTTTGCATGTGTATGTGTGACTGACATGCAATAAACTGTAAAGCCTTACATAAATATGAATATACAATTCATTTTAGAAAGTGGTCAGATGCAACGCATGTTATGTTTGGGATTACAAATTCTCAGTAAACTACAGATCCGGGATTCGAACCCACACTCTCAGAGTCGGGTACCTTATCGCCAGCACACAGAGTCAGCCATCTAACCCACTCAGCCAAAGCAGCTTCAACATATTGTCCCAAATATTTCCCCAAATATAACACATCTAACAAAGTTACCTTACATCTAAAAGTACCCAGGCTGAATGGTTGTACGCCACATTTGGGTGTATTTCGGTTACACATTGTACCACGATGGAAGACGACAAAAAGGTGAACGGTCTTCGTTTAGCCATTAACCGATGAATCAACACACACAAATTCTATTTTGTCCGCTATCATACTTACATGTGATATGGTGCTGTGTCCTATCCAAGACAACCTGCTGCCAAGAAACACGGCACAAGTCTATCTGCTATATGCAGTGGAACACCTTCACCGTCTCATGTACATGGCATGTATCCATTATGACTGGTCAGACGCGTTGGACACGCTGCCAATAAGGCGATGTCTTACGCCTGCTGACGGAAGTGCACTGGTGGTGGCTTAATGCCCTGGGGAGGCACCGTTGGATGTTGACAACCGAATAACCTAAACACAGTTATAAAATCTTGTTTTAGATTCATTTATTGATCTATCCAGAATATTATACGATGTGCATGTCTAATGATACGTTAAATGAAATTGAAAAGTGTATATCATTCAAAAAAATATTTTTCTGTTAATGAAACAATAACAAGAAAAACATACAAGGGATAAAATACTTTCATTGACACTTGCTTATCGTAACTTATTTAACATGGCAATGGAAAAAATATATTCAACAATACTTCAAGATGGAAATATAAATAAATAATACAATCACAAACACATTGACATATCAATGAAACTGGAAATGGAAAATTCAGAAAAATAATTTCACGATAAAACATCTCAACAACCGAAAGCTTAAATTACTAACTCTTAAATACAAAGTTACGACAAGAGGCATTCAGTCCCAATAATCATTGCTATGAACCATACGGTAACCTGACGACAACGTAAAACTCTTGTGACTGAACTACTAATTCCTCCTCGTTAAACTACCTTTCCAAAGATGACATTCGATAGTTCCCTTCCAGCTACCCCACAGTAAATATTACGACCACAGCAGGGAATCAGCAGACTGTCGTGATGTATTCTGTGAGCTACCGCTTTGTAATACATGTCTGTTTAGTCCGACCATAAGCTGCGACGATCCTTCCTCATCGATCTGTGACTGGCTCCCAGCTTATTGAAAACGATCTTGAATAGTGTCTGTAGAAATACCTTGCCTGCTTTGCACGAGGATTACGGGAGCAGAAAGGAAGCGTTTGACTATCGACAACGATTTTCCAGGGATGTTTTAAAAGAAAAGTGTTTCTGTTAAGGCTCAGGTGCCCTTGTAAAGAAACTTACTGTTTCTAAAAATAATTGGGGTGGGGGTCAAAACTAGGATGGATCTAGTGTTCAAGCTTAAATTTGTACGGATTCCTTGATCTAATAATTATGAATACTAGTAATATGTTGGCAATACCATCAGCCATAGTATAATATGTTCAACTGTCAATCTGATGCAAAAGACAGCAACCCCTAGATAATTTTGTCAAGAGAATACACTATGCTCATTTTATTATAACATTTCTACTTTATTTTTGAAAACCATATATTTTCCATATATATTCAATGTTTACTTTACAAGAACAGAAAATATAGGTATGCTTTAGTCTTGTACCTCGCGACGTGTCATTTCTCGTCGATTTACCTCCTATAGAAACATTATTTGGCAATTATGGCGATATTGTATCATAACAAAGTAGTGAGTATCCCACTCTTACCTATTCTGCTCACTGAAAGCCAGTTCTCTCCCTCCCCCTCTCTCTCTATCTCCCTCCTTCTTTCTCCCTCTCTCTCACTCTCTCCTCTCTCTATATATATCTCCCTCTCTCTCTCTCTTTCTCTCTCTCTCTATATATATATCTCCCTCCCTCTCTCTCTCTCTCTCTATATATATATATCTCCCTCCCTCACTCTCTCTCTCTGTTGTCTATTTTTGTTGTTGTTATGCAGTTGTTTACCGGATGTTTGCTACTATGTCTGAACCTGGGTCTCATACATCATTCAGACGTATTGATAGAAGGCCCAAAATGGAATTGCAGATTTTCTGCCCACGATGTACTGAGTTGTCCTGAAAATAAATGCACCAATGTCTGTGATAAATATGATAGTTAATATGATGATATTTTTTCACGATAAAGTCATATAGAATATCAAATCATAATGTAATATGAACGAAATTGGTCCAAGGAGACAATATACCCAATTGAAAAATGTGTTTGTGCTTATCAGCTCATAATTCTGCTACTGATAAACCTGTAGCTTTTGTACTCTTATGTGAAATATTTCCTTCACGAAGAAATCTAAATTCTCGGCCAATTCTATTGACAATAATCTCTCACCGTCGCCTACACATCCTATGGCGTCGTACTGGCCAATCTCGTAACACCTCCCCTAAAAAGCAAACGATCGACTGCAGACCGAGATGGCATTTCATCAATATTGATGCTCTTTGTCAATGAAGACCCATCGGAGCCAGCTAACAAATATTCGGATTTCATTCAAAGAAATGTGGGGTCATGACTTTGTTCGATTCCTTTCATTCCATGTTTAAGAGACTATAGCGGAACACAACATGTTGTTACATTTCCCAATGCCTCAAACCGGCTAGCATTGTCGTGCCTCTTGGCATTATTTACGACAACGAGTTAGCATTTCCGATAGTGTCCTGTTTCGTGCCTGTTTGACAACAAACTGTTAAGCACTGAGATTTATAAGCGTTAATCCAACTACATTAACCTTATGTGAGCCATGATACATTTCACACGAGGTTTCCTTTTTATGAACTCATTACTTGTTTCACATTTGAGCCCACGAGGTTGCCTGTCATGTTAATTGTCACTCAACCAAACACATTTACATATTCACAACTCATAAAACCAAATCTGACATGTCAAAAAATAACAAATGCTAATTTTCAACGTCATATGCAGAATAAATGTTGCTTTTTGCCATGAGTGATGGGCATCAGTTGTTCCACCGCTGGTGGTTTTCAGAGAAATAAACTGAACTGAACTTTAACTCAAGAAGAGGTTGTATCCGGCCCCTGTACAATGCGCATTTCTACACAGAAGTAGCATGCGTCACATACAGTAGCACAGTAGTGGCAAGGATCTCTGATAAATGAAGAACCAACGAATATGCAACTCAAAATAACTGTAAACCCGAACACCATTCATTTCCAAAAGATGGCGACAGCATCAATCTATAACAACAGAGTCAGCAAATCCACAGACTGCTAATTAAAACCGACCAATACATTCTACACAATTGGGATACAGTGACATGTGTCAACCAAGTCAGCGTGCCTGACTACCCCATCCCGTTAGTCGCCTCTTACGACACACATATGTTGTTGAAGACCAATTCTAACTCATAGATCGATGTTCATGCTGTTAATCACTGGATTGTTTGGTCCAGATTCCATTATTTACATACCACCGCCATATAGCTGGAATACTGCTGAATAAACAATCAAAACTGATGGAAGATATCATATAACAAATCAACGCATGATAAGAGCATAACAATATCATTCTACAAAATGAAAATTACGGACAACACAATTCTCTGGCGTAGCGCACAGAAAGTCAACTAACTGATGCTGAACGGCACAAAGTTGCCAGGGATGAGAAGGTGAGGGAAAGATCTTTGTTGGAATGTCTTGCATATGATAATGGGGATTTTGAAGATTTATCATCCAAAACTGTGTTCCACAGGAGATATTGTTTGTGTGAGATCAAACGTTATCTCTTAGAACATTTCGTTTTGACAGTAGATTTTGTACAATTTGAATGCCCTGACATCATCAATTACATGACTCACAATGCTATGACGTCAGAAACTTAATGACGTCACAATGCTATGACATCGCTGCACTGCAAGTCTTATGGCAGTACCGTGTTCAGAGATGCACAGTTTTGCATTGAAAACTAATGAAGAGTGATTTGTGATGGTAAATTTAATCTCACCCTCGTGCTTTCTGTTATCAAATATATCAACACTCGTTGATAAAAGTAAAAATACCCTCGGCAAGCCTGGGATATTTGTAACTTTATCAACTCGTGGTGATATATTTGATATCAAAAGACACTCGGTTGAGATTCTCTCTTTGTATCTCCAAAGATAGGAACCTACTTCAAAACATAAGGCTAGTCAATAGCGAGTGGCTGGACCTGGTTTAATGTCGCTCCAGACTGTACTTCAGTCATATCGAGGTGCGCCATCTTTATGTGGGAGGCACTTACACGATGAGGCCCCACAATTAATTATCAAACTGTATACTGGGCATTGTTTCCATTCTGTTTATATGTGATCATATAAAGCAAACATATATCGGGATTGTGAGAGATATCCTCTTCACTTTACATATAAAAATGTATACAGTATTAGACGAGGTCATTAAGAATGCAACAGAACAGTAGGACAAGTCTTAAAACCATGGTCAAGCTAACAAACATGGATTAGTGCAGAGGACCCTTGAAATGAACCGCCGATCCGACAAATCCATAGGAAGCAATGCTTCTCAGAAGACATTCAGCTACTTTGAACACAGTAACACCTGATGAGTGAGTGGGTGAGTATGGTTTTATGCCGCTTTTAGCAATATTCTAGCAATATCACGGCGGGGGACACCAGAAATGGGCTACACAAATTGTACCCATGTGGGGTACTTCGGCGTGACGAGCGAACGCTTAGACCACTACGCTACCCCACTGCCCCTAACATCACATGACAAGGGCACGTTCACGAATCATTGAAAAGCTTATGCAACAACAACATTGTCCAGGTGTTTGTGTCCATTGACCTCAGAAAACATGTTTCAACGAAAATATAGCTTGAATCTCAGCAAGACTTTCGATTGTATGTGTTCGACCCCCTCTAAAGGCCTGTCGGTCATATAATCTAAACATCGTTTGTTCTTTATGTGAAATAAAACGTCACATTTCATGTTGCGAGTGACACCGGCTATTCAAATTTTAGGGGCAAAAAATATTACATCGACAAAACGAGTGACACCTGCCATGTCACTAGAGACATTTATTGACATTTGAACCACTTCAAACAGTCAACCGATATCTTTAACTGGCATATTGAAGCCTCATTATCAATGAAGATATCTATAATTAACGTCGGACATATGCATTGTAACAATGGACATGAATTAAGGATTAACCTAAACACAAAAACTGAAATGTGTATTTCAGAAAAACATCAAAACGAATATCTTTTATGTTCAGTGTATCTGTTATTTTCCCTTGCTTTTGTATTGTATTAAGTTAAATATGTTAATAGACATTTTCAGTACAGGACCAAAGTGCCACAGGTTGGCCCTCGACTGGCGATTTGAAACGGTGTTTGTATCAAAAGACAACTGGGTGATTTAGTGTTAGGCTTCGCCTTAAGGCAAGATTAATATGTATCCG